CATTTTCAGAAATAAGAGATGGAATTAAAACATGACAAGAAAAGGGATACCAACAACATACCAGGCAGACAGAAATTGGATATACTATCTGACATTAGGAACAGAAAACAAAATGCTCCTATTCTTCAATTTCAAGACTGGAAAGGACTGACTGTTCTTTGACATTAGTCAGCTAATCTCTATAAACTACACTCTGAAATTCAGCAAGTTCTGAAATAATCCTGCTTTTTAAAAGTCTACAGACTTCCCCCAAACCAGACACAATACCAACTTTCCGCTTTGTTTAGAAAGCCAGTCTAAGAAGCACAAGAAGTCTAAGAAGTCTAAGTCTTCCTTGCTTAAGTAAGTAAGTTAAATCGCTTAGTCGTGTCCGACTCTTTGCAACCCCATGGACTGTAGCCCAAGCAAGTAATAAATTCAGTTTCCTTGTTTTAGACATACTGCATGGGTTTTGGTTGCCAATACTTTGAGTGATGTCTCTTTCTTAAGAGAAAGCAATAGATTAACTTAACAGTGAAACATAACAAAAGTTAACAAAACTATGGCTAAACAAAAATATCCAACTGAAGCAGAGAAATTTAAAGAAAGAAAATACAAAAAATGCAATAAGAGCTATGTGAGACACTGAGAAAAGGTCCAATAGATATAACTGGTGGCATGGAGAAGGAAATGGCAACCCACTCCAGTATTCCTGCCTGGAAGATCCCATGGGCAGAGGACCCCGGTAGGCTACAGTCCATGGGGTCACAAAGAGTCAGACACAACTGAGTGACTTCACTTTCACTTTTCACTTTCAAGGAATATTAAGAAGGAGCAAAAATAGTAGCTGAAGAGATAACAACTGAGAATTATGCAGAGCTAATGAATGACATCGGTCCACAGATTAAGAAGCATAAATGCAAAGAAAACCACACTTAGGCACATCATAATCAAATTTTGAAGAGCTGAGTAAAGAAAAAACAAAAACAGCAAGGGGAAGAGAAAGACAACTTATAACAGCACCAAAAATATTAAACACCTGGGGGAAAAGATAATTTATAGCAGCGCCAAAAATATTAAATACCTAGGAATAAATTTAATTATATGTGAAAAATGATATACTGAAAACTATAAAATTTTATCAAGGGAATTTCCTGACAGCCCAGTGGTTAGGACTCCCTGCTCTCACTGTCATGCAGTTTGACCCCTCATGTGGAAACTAAAATCCCAGAAGCCGTGCATGGTGTAGCCAAAAAACAATAATACAACAACAAACAAAAGAACTCAAAATACTTTATTGAAACAGAAATTAAATAAGGGCAAGATGATATAATAATTGAGGTGAAAGTAAAAGTAGAACAACCAAAGAAATGGAAGAATAATTCACATTCATGCATTAAAATACTCCCTATTGTAAAGATATCAATTCTCCCCAAACTGACCTGTATATGCAAAACAATCCTATTCACAATCCTAGCAACTTTTTTGTGAAAACTGAATAATGAGTTGTAGAATTTAAGGGCAATGCAGAGAGTCAACAATAGAAAAAGCAATTTTGAAAAAAGAATAGGGTTGAAAAACTTATACTAAAATATCTATTATAAAGTTATAGTAATTAAGAAGTATGGTACTGTCATGAAGATTGGCAATCGTTCAAACAGAAAAAAAGAATCTACACCTACACAGTCCCATATGGTAGCCACTAAACATATGTAGCTATTTAAATAAATTAAAATTAGTTAAAATAAAAAATTCAGTCCTTTTGAGCACTTGCCACATTTCAACATCTCAGCAGCCAGCTATTAAATTGAACAGTACATATACTAACATTTCCAACATGGCAGAAAGTTCTATTCAACAGCACTTAGAATAGAGAGACACACACAGAACTACTTGATTTATACCAAATGTGACACTCCAGTGCAGTGCGGGAAAGCTGGTCTTTTTAATAAATTGTGATGGTGCAATTTTATGTTTATACATGAAAATTAAATAAATAACCTATTAATCCACCATCACCTCTACCTTACACCCAAGGTCCCCAACCTCTGGGATTTAATGCCTATATGATCTGATGTGGAGTTGATGTAATAATAATAGAAATAAAGTGCACAACAAATGCAGGGCTCTTGAATCATCCCAAAACCATTCCCTCCCACTACCGCCACGTTCTATGGAAAAACTGTCCTCCATGACAGTGGTCCCTAGTGCCAAAAAAAGTTGGGGCCACTACCTTACACCATATATAAAAATCAATTCCAAGTAGACTGCAGGGAATTCCCTAGCAGTCCAGTGATTGGGACTCTGAGCTTTCATTGCCAAAGGCCTGGCTTCAATCCCTGGTCCAGGAGCTAAGCTCCTGCAAGTCAAGCAGCCAAACAAACCAGCAAAAAACCAAGTAGACTGTCATTCTAAATGTAAAAACATAAGACAAAGAAGTTTTAAGACGAAAACACAGGAAAGTAACTTCACAACCTTGTAGTCAACAAAATTGTGTCAGTCATAAAATACAAAACCAGTAAAGAATATTTAACAAGAAGTTAAATTTGAGAATGTCTGCTTATCAAGGCATCATTAAGAGAGTGTAAAGGCAAGCCATAGCCAGAGAAAAATCATTTGCAACCCAGATACCTGACAAAAGACTTATCCAGAATATAAATCTGGTAAGTCTCTACAAAATGGTAAGAAAAAGGCAGGCAGATAACCTAGCAGAAAAATGGATAAGACACAAACAAGCACTTAACAGAAGAGGATGTCCGAACAGCTAATGAGCACATGAAGAGCTGTCAAGCTTCGTTTACCATCAGAAAAATGTACATGAAAATTCAGTGGGTATCACTATTTTCCTACAAGAACACCTAAAATGATTTACAGATAAGCAAAACGAGGCACTGGTGGTACAAATGGAACTCTTACACACTGGGGACACAACTATAAATCAGTAAAACCACGCTGAAAAATGTATGGCCAAGTTACGGGTTAAACTGTAACCCCAAAATTCATATGTTGACATCTTAGCACCCAGTCCCTCAAAATGTGACCTGATTTGGAATCAGAGTCACTGCCTATGTAATCCGGTCATTAAGGTGGGCCTGAATCCAATTATGACTGATGCCTTTATAAGATGGGAAATTTTTGACACAAATAGAAGGAAGATGATGTGAAAAGACATTCCAAGAAGATATCCAACAAAAAGCCAAGAAGAGAGGCCTGGAACAGATCCTCCTCTCACAGTTCTGAGAAGCAATCAACTCTGCCAACATCTTGATTTTGGAATTCTAGACTCAAGAACTGTGAAAACAGTAAGTTTCAGTTGTTTAACCATCCCCCACCCCCCAGTCAATACTTCATTTTGATAGTACTGACAGATTAACACAGGTGGCATCTACTTAGTGGAATATACACATATTTATAACCCAATGATTCCTCTTCTTGATATATGCACAAAAAAAAATGTGTATATATTTTTACCAAAAGAATAGTCTAAGAATGTTCACAGCACTGTTATCTTTAAAGGCCTCAAACTAGAAACAACCCAAGTGCTCATCAACAGTACAATGAATAAATAAATTATGGTATATTTACCCAATGGAATTTTATATAGCAATGGGAATGAACCAATTACAACTACGTGCAACAATACTGAAGGATCCTGCAGTGACGGTGAATAAGAAAAGTCAGATACAAAAGAGTACAAATGGATGATTCAGTCCAGTTCAGTTCAGTTGTTCAGTCGTGTCCAACTCTTTGCAACCCCACTGACTGCAGCATTCCAGGTCTCCCTGTCCATAGCCAACTCCTGGGGTTTACCCAAACTTATGTCCATTGGGTGATTATAATAATAGATTTGAACATTTAAAAGTAATGTGTGGCATAATAAGTCAGGATGGTGATTACATTTGGAAAGAAGGGAGCCAACAGGGATTGGGATAGGGCAAAAGGAAGGTTTCTGGGATGTGGGTAATGTTCTACTTTGTGATTTTGGTGAATTACTATCTTCAAGTTGTATGTTTATGATCTGCACGTTTTCCATATACTTTATTCATCATTTAAAAAGTTCTTTAAAAACTGAGTATGTGAATAAATAGATTAGAACAGTTCAATCATATATATGAGAGATTTTTAAAAACAACCATAATGTAACACAGATAATGAGACACTAATGAAAGCATAGGATAAAGAGAAAAGGTCAAGTATAAGTCTAACTGGAGTAGCAGAAGTAGATACTGAAGAGAATGGGTGAGAATCAATATTTGAATACTGAAAATTTCCCAGAATCAACATGACACAAATTCCACATTAAAAGTGTATAATACCAACCAGGATAAATAAAAAGCAAATCACATAGAATAAATTATAGTGCAACTGCAGTACTCCAAAGACAAAGAAAAAACTTAAAATCAGACACAGATATAACAAAGATGATTTATAAAGGCATGAAAAATAGATCAATTTCTGTTTTTGGAAAATTCTCATGTAAAAGCCAAAAAGAGTAATATGATGAACACACTATAATACCACTCCATTGTTCATAGTGTTACTATTTTGGCTGACCCCTCAAAGTTTCTCTAAACAAATACATGCCTTTCCCTTTTGGGAAAATGCAGAAAATAAGCTTTAGATAGCAGGATTCTTTATCCCCAAATTCTTTATCATGCATTTCCCAGGAACAAAAACATTATTCTGTTCAACTATAACACCATCACTGTATCTATAATTTGATAACATCACTCTAATAGAGTCCAGTTGAAGTTTTCCCAGTTAACCCAAAAATGTCCTCTAAAGCTTTTCTTCCTACTTATTCAGGATCTAGCTATTATTTGATGATCCAGTTTAAAAAAAAATCAAATCAATGGGAAGACTATGTATACGCAAAAAATTTTTTTCATTGTTCAGTCGCTCAGTCACATCTGATTCTTTGCTACTGAACAACAATGAAAAAATTACACACACACACACACACACACACACACACACTTGATAGATTAATCATTTTACCATGTCTTGAAAAAAGTAATTACCTGCCATCTCTTCTCAGGGCAAAAGTGATGCCATCTTTCTGGAAAGGAAGCAGCTTTGCTCTTAGTTTGTCAGGCAAAAAATCCAGCTGTTTATAAGATTCACTTGTCGAACAAGAAATTTGAGGTGTAAGAGACTTTTTAATGTTATGATCTCTGGACATGATGATCCTAAAAACAAAACAAAAATCACAAGGGGGAGGGGTGAAGGAAATAGATATTACTAAGTATATTAGAAAATTAAAGATAAATAATATTAATGTACTTATTAGTAGTCTTGATATACCAGATATAAACTGGTTAAATTGTGTTCTCAGAATAAGCAATTAAGAAAATTCAAAGCACTGAATCCAAAAGCAATTACTTGTTGCACTGTCTAGGGACCAGCATTTTCTATTTCATTTGTATTCTATTAATAGTTGAGCCATAATGTAGCAATAACCCCTGTTTTAAGCAATAAATGCATTACTGAAAAATTATAAATCAACTAGATTTATAAATGAAATATATTATTTTTAAAATAAGGAATGAATTTGTTATAGAAAGATGAAATTCCTTTTAGTTGATCCTTTTATAGATACTCATCTTCACATTATATCAGATTTTTTAAGAATGAAGTCAAATTAAATTTTATCATTTGTTTAATTTATTTATTTATTTGGGCCTACCATGTGGCTTGTGGCATCTTAGTTCCCTGATGGGATGGAACTTGGGCCCTCAGCAATCAAAGTGGAGAGTCCTAATCACTGGATCCCCAGGGAATTTCCTAAATTGCACTTTAAAAATGAAAAGATACAAAGACACTAACTTCAAATTTATAATTATTAAATTAGCTCAATATTATTAAATGAGATTGACTTTTTAAATATTAAAATGAATTCTTTAACTACTTGAATCCACAGTATAAACACAGCCTGATTAGCACCTTTCTCACCAGTGGGTTTCCACAGCTATAGTTTTAATTTTCTAACATAAAAATTTCATATATCTTCAAATTCTTAGACCTCTGCAAGAAAAAATCCTATTAAATCACTGAACTATAAAGCTTCTTTAATATGACACTTTGTATTTAGATTGCAACTTTCATCTATTTATAACCTCATTTCATTTTAAAAACAAATTTGCTTTAATTATCAATTACTTGCAGACTTCTAAACTTCAGCCTCTCACTCCCCTAAAAAAGTAATTAATCTCTGTGTATAATGTTTAAGAATATCAAGAATTTGACAAATATATATTATTAACAAATACGTACAACATGCCACAATCTAGAGAAGCAAGGATCACACCCTCACAGAGCTTACATTCTTGAGGGGTAGACCAAAAATAAACAGATAAACAAGGAGATTAATTACAGTATATAGTACAAGTATTATGAAGGACCTTAAGAGAGTAATAGCTACTTTAGGCAAGCTGACCAGGAAAGTCCACTCTCAGGTGATGCCTGCTCTACAGTCTAAAGGATGTGAAAGAACCAGTCAGGTTCAAAGTTGATAGATGAGCACTCCAGGTGAACAAAATAAGTGAAAGGACCCTAATTTGAGAAAGGGCTTAGTGATTTCTAGAAACAGAATGCAGGCCAATGAGGTTAAACCAAGGGACAGAACGACATGAGATGAAGCTATTGAGATAAGCAAATGTCAAATCACAGAAGGCTGTCATAAAGAGTTTGGATTCCACTTTAAGAATGAAGGTAAGTCACCATACACAAAAATAAACTCAAAATGAATTAAAGATCTAAATGTAAGACCAGAAACTATAAAACTCCTAGAGGAGAACATAGGCAAAACCCTCTCCAACATAAATCACAGCAGGATCCTCTATGACCCACCTCCCAGAATTTTAGAAACAAAAGCAAAAATAAACAAATGGGACCTAATGAAACTTAAAAGCTTTTGCACAACAAAGGAAACTATAAGCAAGGTGAAAAGACAGCCCTCAGATTGGGAGAAAATAATAGCAAACGAAGCAACAGACAAAGGATTAATCTCAAAAATATACAAGCAACTCCTCCAGCTCAACTCCAGAAAAATAAATGACCCAATCAAAAAATGGGCCAAAGAACTAAACAGACATTTCTCCAAGGAAGACATACAGATGGCTAACAAACACATGAAAAGATGCTCAACATCACTCATTATCAGAGAAATGCAAATCAAAACCACAATGAGGTACCATTACACGCCAGTCAGGATGGCTGCTATCCAAAAGTCTACAAGCAATAAATGCTGGAGAGGGTGTGGAGAAAAGGGAACCCTCTTACACTGTTGGTGGGAATGCAAATTAGTACAGCCACTATGGAAAACAGTGTGGAGATTTCTTAAAAAGCTGGAAATAGAACTGCCATATGACCCAGCAATCCCACTTCTGGGCATACACACCGAGGAAACCAGATCTGAAAGAGACACGTGCACCCCAATGTTCATCGCAGCACTGTTTATAATAGCCAGGACATGGAAGCAACCTAGATGCCCATCAGCAGACGAATGGATGAGGAAGCTGTGGTACATATACACCATGGAATATTACTCAGCCATTAAAAAGAATTCATTTGAATCAGTTCTAATGAGATGGATGAAACTGGAGCCCATTATACAGAGCGAAGTAAGCCAGAAAGATAAAGACCATTACAGTATACTAACACATATATATGGAATTTAGAAAGATGGTAACGATAACCCTATATGCAAAACAGAAAAAGAGACTCAGATGTATAGAACAGACTTGTGGACTCTGGGAGAAGGCGAGGGTGGGATGTTTCAAGAGAACAGCATTGAAACATGTATATTATCTAGGGTGAAACAGATCACCAGCCCAGGTTGGATGCATGAGACAAGTGCTCAGGCCTGGTGCACTGGGAAGACTCAGAGGGATCGGGTGGAGAGGGAGGTGGGAGGGGGGATCGGGATGGGGAATACATGTAACTCCATGGCTGATTCATGTCAATGTATGACAAAACCCACTACAATACTGTAAAGTAATCAGCCTCCAACTAATAAAAATAAATAAAAAAAAAAAAAAAGAATGAAGGTAAGTCCATGGAGATGTGTTGCCAAATACACTATTAGGCAGATATAGCTATTTAAATGTAATTAAAATAAAAAATTAAATTCCTCTGCTGCATCCACCATGTTTCAATTTTCAACAGCCACATATGGCTAGTGGCTATCATACTGAATGGTTTACATACACAAAACACTTCATTCTTCACTGAAAGTTGTATTGGATAGTAATCACTGGAAAGTTTTAAGCAGGGCAGGAACACAATCTGCCTTATAGTTCAAAAACTACCAGATGAGGATAAAGCTGTCAATAGAAAGGCAGGGAGAAATGTTCTGATAGGACTTGGACAGTCCACAAAGCCCATACTGCCTCAATGATGACGGAATTTAGAGGTGATTTATAACTCAGACCTGTTCTCAGAAGCAACACTGAGTCAGTATCCCCAGTACCCTGTCAGCAATAATAACAAAACTCTGAATAAAGAATAGAAAAATGGCTCAAAAAGGGGGAAAGCATGAAACTCCTCATCATGCTGCGAAGCACATGGCAAAAATCATCTTAACAGTGGAACTATAGAGATTTAGGAAATCTCTCAGAGGTAAAGCTAATAGGACTTGCTGATGGAGTACATTGGGGGAATGAGGGAAATGTGAAATCAAGATGTACGTTTAGTGTGATGGAGTTGTACAATTTACTGAGAGCCTGCACAAGTTACTTAAAGACTAATGAACAAATGGATTGGGAAGAAAAAAAAAATCAACAGATCTTTTAGGAATATATACAGTTAGAGATGACCGCAAGATATGAAGAGGACATGTCAAACAGACTTGAAAATACATTAATCTGGAACTCTAGGGAGAGATCAAGGGTGGTATGTGTTGGGAGTCATCTTGGGATAGTAAACCTATATCATTTTTTGCAGCCACCCAACATCTGAGACCCCTGCTATATTTACAGATTTCCTTACATTACATATATGGGTGGGAGTCAGGTATCACCTTCCAAAAATAAAGCTGGAAATAACAGATTCTTGCTCTCCCAGCTTGCCTTATACATATAGATTTTGCTAATCAGATATACCCGTTTCAGTCTTTAACCTAGAAAGTAAAAATTCAAAAGCATTGGGATTAAGTAAAATTTACTCTGGTAAGGGTAGTAGCAGCAGAAAGAGTCATGTCCACTTTCCAGAAGGAATAAGGGCTTAGAAACCTTTCAGGGTAAGAGGCATAAGGGATACCATGTTTTAGTGACAGACACTGCAAGAAGCTAAGAAAAATGTACAAAAATCATTTTAGTACCTATTATCTTTGCTTTTTAATATTGTAAAAAAAATTTAACAAATACTCCAAGAAAAAAAATATCCACTATGTTGAGGTCACATTGCAACTTTTATGAGGACTGAATCAGGCACTGTTATTAGTAAAAATAAACAATGAAACTAAAATAATCTTAATAAAAAACTGTTCAAATAGAGTAACAAGAGAAAAAATAATTATTTAATATGAAGATGGAAGAACTCTGTAAGAGTAATGTTTAGAAAAAATTAAAATTATGAGCTGGCTCACTTATAATTCAAATAGGTACCTGAATGCGTAAAGAACTTAAAAATGTAGTGGTACAATCTAATTAATAGAAAAGGAATGTTTTACTTAATACTCAAAAGAAAAACACTTTTAGAAAGCCTTTTCCCATTTATACTATCTTTCTAAAAGAAGTACTTACATTTCTTGGTTGTAAAACTTACTATGAAGCCACATAATGAAGTCAGCGTAGTACCAGCATAACAACAGACAGATCAATGGATTAGAATTCAGAGACCACAAATAAACACTTAGAGTCAGCTGATTTTTGACAAGGGTATCAAAATAATTCAAGAGAAAATGAATAATCTCCTCAAGAAATAGTGCTGGGTCAACTAGATGTTCATACTCACATGTAAGAGTGAAACCAGACCCCTAACTCACACCATGCACAAAACAAGTAAAAATGATCAAGGGCTAAAACTAAAAAACTGTTAAAAGAAACCATAAGAATAAATCTTGGTGACCATGAGTTATGCAATGGTTTCTTAGATACAATGCCAAAAATAAAAGCAACAGAAGAATAGATAAAATGGATTTCACCAAAATTTAAAACTTTGGTGTTGCAAATACCATCCAGAAAGTGAG